CTAAACGAAAAAGTTTGAGGAAGAACTTGGATCTAAAACTATTCAGAGACCAGCAGACAAGATTAATGTATGAAAACCATATAAATAGAGAATTGGAAAGTGTTGTCAACAGGGGCACAACTAGACCCCCACTTGGGAGGGGGGGCTGAAGCCCCGAGACTTCTTAGGTAATATTGGTTTGAGGATAATACCAATTTTAAAGAAACAGTGATTTTTTGTTCATAATATTTTTTCGTTTTTTATTTAATAATACAGGGTGAGTCAAATTGGACGCTTTTAAAGGGAAACACCCTTTTCTATAGGAGATGACCAGTGTCGAAAACTAATATCGGTCTCTGGAGCTCAATTTTTATCAAAAACATGATAGTGAAAACCGCACACCGATATCTGTTACCGTTTCGGAATTACGGGGTGTTCTTCAAAAATGTGCATTTTTAACATATCGCTATAACTTTTTTGCTATGGAAAATTTTGTATTTTTATAAAAACATTTCCAAAGGACCTTTTTAGTAGAATTTAATGGTTTAAGTATATGTTTTTAAATTTTTAAACAGAAAAATTTATTTTTTATTTGGGACAATCTGTATATTTTTAATAAACTGAAAAAAAAAATTAAGATTACCTTTCCAAAAATATAGCAGACTTAATATTTCGTTCTAGTTCCCCGAAATACAGAATTTTATTCGCCATAAAAGTTCGCCATTTTTAACTACTATGCTTTGGACCCCTTATTGATGATCTGCCCCTAATCGAACTTGAAAACATATTTTTTCAGCAAAACAAGGCACCGCCTCAGAACGCTGAAGTTATTAGCAAATTTTTGCAACCAATTTCGAGAATAATTGAATCCAAGATCCCAGCCGTTGGCCGTCGAGGCCGCTGGACTTAGCGCCTATATGGATTTTTCTGATGTGCGAAAGAATAAAGGTCCTTATTTTCAAATTGACCGTATAAGTATTTAGCGGTTATGCGAGGGTATTTTTCACCCCCACTGAGTTAATGAATTCCGCGAGAAATGTACATAAACGGTCCCGTCTGTCCATAACAGAAGACAAGGTCGAACAGAACACTGGTAGCAAAATCGCAAGTCTTGGTTTGTTATTTTTTTATTGTAATTAGATATAGTTTAAATGTGTTGATGTTTTGATGTTGTTAAATATAGTTTAAATTGTTAAAATTCTGCATTTCTCATTGCAAATATTATTTTCGTTTTAATTGCTGCTCACAGCAAGAATTTTTTTGCATTAAAGTCGGCACCGTTCAAAGCCTACTTATTCAAAGTGGGCGATTTTTTAAAAACTCTAAATCTCGAGGAGGAATCGAGCAAAATATCAAGTATGCTATATTTTTGGAAAGGTAATTTTAAATTCTTTTTAATGTGCGCGTTCAGGGAACAACAGCGACTGACCGACCGCTGAGAATTTTGCTAAGCGGCTGGTTCGGGAAGTCGCTTACTCAGCCACTCAGCCGCTGACCGTCCCTGAACGCGCAGAGTGGATTAAAAATATACAAGGTGCCCTATATAAAAAAGTCAAATTTTCTGTTGATAACTCTTAAATTTAAAAAAATATATATGGTTTTAATTAAAAAAAAAAGTATATACTTAAACCATTAAATTCTACGTAAAAAGGTGCTTTGGAAATGTTTTCATAAAAATACAAAATTTTCCGTAGCAAAAAAGTTACAGCGATTTGTTAAAAATGCACATTTTTGAAAAACACCCCGTAACTCCGAAACGGTAACAGATACCGATGTGCGGTTTTTACCATCATATTTTTGATAAAAATTGAGCTCCAGACAACGATATTAGTTTTCGTCTATCTAGAATGACAGACGCCACTGTATTCTACGTAAAAATTTCTACAATAAACAGTTTTCACCTTCTCGATACCTTTGATAATAACAGAGATACAGGGGGCGTCCAAAATTGCAAAATTTTCAAAACGACCCTGTAGCTCAGAAAAGAAGAGCGCTCTAAAAATTTTGTTTATGGCATATTCCGTTTGACAAAAAAAGAACTGGTTTGTGCAAACTGCACCTTTCTATCTTCACTAATAACGAAGATACCGTATGATTTCCACCAAAATGGGACACCCTGTACATAGTGTACATACACTTAATCTAAATATTATTTTTTAGATTAGGAATTTCAAACTCAAAAACTTAAAACTGATATTCTATCAAAGAAGTCTTTAGTAGAATCACAGATAACATATGTAGTAATCTATGTAACACAGTTTACTATGTTATCTGTGGTAGAATACACTAACAATCTTTGTACAATACACTAACTTAACCTAAGAACATTTTTGTATTTTTTTTTCAAACGTTACAATAGTATTAATTTTCGCGACGTGATATTGTGCCTTGCCTGAAATGTCAAACGTACGCCAAAAAAGTATCATTTTACTCCTAATAAAACAATATCAAAAACTTAAAAGTAATATCAATAACCTTGTTGACCGTCAGAATCTGACGATTTTTACTAAGCTTTGCTCGTAGAATCGCAATATATCATGTATCAGTTTGATTGAACTACACCAAACATCTGGAAGGGCTAATTTCGAGTCTGGGGGGGGGGGGTTAGTACAGTATCACCGGTTACATCCCTGAAGACTGGCTTTGTTCTACGTTTATCACGCTGCCCAAGTCAAGTAACGCAACTTCGTGTAAAGTGATTGCTCTTATTGATTGCGTCTAATTAGACGACCACTAACATTAACGTTTCACTAGTCTAATGAGCCACTTCCTTAAGCTCTTTCTGCGGGTGCTACATACATTACACAAGACTCTACAAAAAATGTGAGGAAGTAAGTGGAGATAGTCAATTTGGATTTAAGAATGGCTTTGGTACTAGAGAAGCCATATTCAGTCTTCAAACATTAGTGCAGAATTGTCAAGATCAGAGAAAAGACGTCTTCATGTGCTTTATAGACTATGAAAAGGCGTTTGATAATGTTAAACATAACCTCCTCACTTGGGACTTCATGGAAAAGATATAAGGCTGATCGGTAATTTGTATTGGAACTAAAAAGCTGAAATTCGTATACATAACGTAGGAGTAACAGAAGATTTTGAAATAAAAAAGGGAGTAAGGCAGGGGTGTATTCTGTCTCCAGTCTTGTTTAACTTGTATGTGGAAAGAGCATTTACTGAGTCAATTTCCGACAGTCCCATTGGTTTGAAAATAAATGGCATTCTAATTAATAATATCCGATATGCGGATGACACAGTGATATTGGCAGACAATGCAAATGATCTCCAAATCCTTCGAAATAAGGTTTGCAATGAAAGCCAAAAATTGGGTTTAAACCGAGGTTTAAACATGAATACTAGAAAAACTAAATTTATGGCTGTCAGCAGAAACAACAATCCGATCACCAGAATTTAGTTAAATGGAGGGGTTATCAAGCAGGTCACACAATTTAAATACTTGGGATGCATGGTTGAAACGTGGGATCCAGATCAGGTGATCAAATGCAGGATCGAGCAAGCAAGAAAAACTTTTCTAAAACTTCGAAGGTTTCTCTCAGATAGGGGTCGAAAACTTCGGCCTTAGATACATAATGGTGAAGTGATATATATCATCCGTTTTGTTATATGGTGTGGAGCGTGGACACTGAAGGTAGTAATAATAAACAGAATTGAAGCCTTCGAAATGTGGACCCTACGACGAATGCTAACACTGTCCTGGGTCGACCGCGTGAGGAATGAAGACATTCTCAGAAGAGATGATCTAGAAGAACGCGAACTCTTCGAAATCATCAAGAGGAGGAAAATAGTCTATTTGGGACACATAATACGAGGAGAACGCTAACACTTTCAGCGTCTAATTCTCCAGGGTAAAATCGAGGGGGGCAAAAGGGGAATAGGCCGAAGGAAGCTATCCTGGGTGAGAAATATTCGTCATTGGGCAGGCATACATGACTTCCAAGCACTCCAAGTCGCTGCAATAAATATTAATGAATAACCATCTGATGAGGAAGAAAAAGATGAACGCCTACGCAGGAATCTGCACGGCACCTTAAGAAGAAGAGGATTTTCTAGATGTATTTTATCCATTTTTTCAAATTTTGGCAAACAAAGAAAAACTGCCACGCGTTTTGCAAGAAACTTACCGAAAAACTAGTATACTGAAAACAGTGGCGGATACAAAGGGGGTCTATGGTGCAAGCCCCCCCCCTGAAGATTTATACATTGGGTTAAATATTAGGCTTTTGGGTTAAAAATTACTTTTTATTTTTAACCCAACTGTTTTTTAAAAAAATCATGATTTTTTCCAACCCTGTTTGAAATACAGTTAGCTCCGCTAGCTCTACCCGTAGAGATCTCACTGGTCGTTTAGACTTACTGTTTCCGAGAGAAAACATCTTATTTTTATTTACAACTTTATTATTTTTTCTACTAGTATAATTTAATTTAGCGACCAAACGCCAAAGTTTTCGAAGTGACTTCCAGGTTTAATGTCAACGTTAACACCTTAAAAATTACTTAAAATCATAAAAAATAGGCCCCCTTAAACACACACGGATTTTGTTAGCTTGACCGGACTATATTATGTTACAATTCTGTAAATAAACAAGAAATAAACTAATATGCAACATAGACATTTTCCCCTCATATAAAATAAACACTTGTCTTTTTCTAGTTCTTCAGAAATCATCAGATATCAGTTTAATTGTATTACTTTTTGTATTTGTACTCAAAAACCGAACTATTTTGATTTTTTGAATTAATAACAATATTTTTAAGAGGATAAGTTTCGTAGTGTAATTAAATAATTTATGTTTTTAACATTTCACACGTTTCACAGAAAAAAAAATCATGTAAAATCATTTTAAAGACTAATTTATATAACAGTATAGAAAATCAAGGTGTTTTCACCGAAGAAGAAGCTGATTTACGTAGGTTTCTGCGGAGGCATTTGCTTATGATAGTGGAAGGGACCTCAAAAAACGAAATTTCTTACGGCAAGTACAGCAACACTCGCGTATAAACAGTCTACCGTTTGCGTTCCGTACGACGCGAGACGTCAACATGCAGAACACGCGGTTCTTAAACTTACGCCAGACTCGATATCGTTCTGTATAAAGCTTACTCTACAATATATTCTTAGGTATTTATTTACTGATACGTAATTGTAGTTAATCCATTATTTTATTTATTTCTTGCACCGAAAAATTTAGTGTCTTCTATTTTTACACTAGTATATATATTATTATAAAACATTGATGGTGATAAACGATCATAGTGGGTGCGTATAGTGTGTTAATTTGTACTGTTAAGTTACGGATAACGTTTTGATGTTTTAAATAATTAAGCGTAATAAAACAGTATTCAGCCATTCTTGCTTTAAGTTTTAATTTTTGTCGAACCTCCAGGTAATCTGTGAATTTTCTATCAAGAACGGAGAGGAGGTACCGCCTACAGGCTCGATTGAAGATAAAAATAAGGTAAGTAATTTTTATTTACTTCGTGTCTGAAGGGAAGATGTCTATTTTGAGAGAAAAAAATACCAGATTGCCTTTGGGGAATCCAATTAATTTCAGGTTTTTATGTAAATTAACTTAATTAAACTGATGTATCAATGCTGCAGTATTTTTCTTGTAATTTATTTCTTGCTTTTATTTTTCTTCTGCTAAAGAATAATTCTTTGTATTATAAATAACCGTTTTCACAACGATTGTGTCATTCCTCGAACGCACATATCTATTTTAATGTAGGTAATAGTTTTTTACAAATAAAGCATACGAGTATTTTAGCAGTTAACTTACGACTGGGCCGCGTTAAAGTAATTTGCTACCCTATTCACCAATTTTTTCCCACGCCCTCGCACTAATAAACTACTTAAAACAATTATCGCATATTTAAAAAAAAATGAAAAACAAGACACCTTGAATTCTGTGACTTAGTTTTTAAATAGTTTGGATACTGTAAAGTCAAATTCGTAATAAGCCTATGCGCTGAAATGCAATTTTTAGCCGACCGATTATTTAGTTCCAAAGGAGAAAAGAATACATTCTTAACATCTAATTTCTTAATTTCCTAACCGATCGGCCGACTATCTGATTGCATGTCTGCGTGGCTCCAGAAGAATATATTGGTTACATATCTGTAATAAATAGCAATCAATAATCGGCCGACTATCTGATTGCATGTCTGCGTCACTCCATAAGAATATATTGGTTACATATCTGTAACTAAATAGCAATCAATAGTCGCCCGATTGTCTCCATCAGAATATATTGTTTTCACTTTTGTAATAAAATAGTCGGGCGACTAAAAATTGCGTGTCAGTGTCATTGTGTTCCAGGGTTGTCGCATCCCAACGCCTAATCGCCACCTGTTACGATCAAGAACATCTTCCTCTTCCAAGTTACGGTCCTCCATTGCCCTTCTGATGGCCTCATTCCAGGATCTTCTAGGCCGTCCTCTTTTCCTTTTTCCAGGAGGTGACCAGCTGTAGATGCGGTAGGCCCTTCTTTGGTGTTCCATGCGTAGCAAGTGTCCAAACCACTTAAGGCCCCTCTGTTCGACTCTATCCACTATTGTCTGTGTGGCATCCATTTTGGCTCTGATTTCCACGTTCCTAACTCTGTCCAGTTTAGATACTCTCGCACTGCGTCTCAAATAGTCCATTTCGAGTGCATTCAAAGCTCGCTTTTGTTTTTAAGGTCCAAACTTCACACCCTTTATACCTAGTACAAGCAACAAATATATTTTTTTTTCAAATGTCACAAAAGTATTATTTTTTTGCGACGTGATTGACAATATAAAAAAAGTCATTTTCATGCCTAGGCATAAAAGTAAAGCACTTTTACGCTTACGCCATGCCTAAGCATAAGAGTACGAAAATATCATATTAAACAAAAAATATATTATTAAACTGACATAGAGTGTCAAATTTGGTCAAATTCAACAAGCGTAACCATAGTTTCTCGATATACATGTAATTACCTGACTTTTAAATCTTTTTATATCCATTATTATTTGGAACATTTGAAATTGTTTAAAAATTTATTTGTGGCGTTAGATAAAAAATAGCATGTTCTATTCGGAGTAAAAATGACGAGAAAAATGACTTTTTGTACCTTGGCTGTAGTCAAACGTACAGCCTCGCCACAAAAAGTATCATTTTTATTCCTAATAAAACTAATGTGCGATTAATAATAATATAATAATTTTACTTAATGTACTATTTTTTATTGAGAAAAAATATTGACATATATGCCATAACAGCAAATTTAAAAAATTCACTTTACCCTCCCTTTTCCTCTTTACGTATGTAAAAATTTGGGTTTAAGAGGCTAAATATCGAAAAACGTCAAAGAGAAAAGATGCTCAAAAAATTATTTTACCTATACTTATGTATTATGTTTCATAAATATACCTACAGGGACTTAATATAGCATTTTTTATATTATTATTTTGAAACCTTTTTAAAATTTTTTTTTTCGCTAAAATTTCATGAAACAAAGTAAATACTACAAGATTAATTCTTACCTAACACTATATTTTTTCGTCAATTTTTTCTTTACGGGGACTGTAAATAATCGACAAAAATAAATTGTCAATTTTTATATACAGGGTGGCTTTCCTACGATGTTCTCTATGGGTATCTCGGAAACTACGGGAGATAGAGTGTCGGTTAAATGGGGAAAGAATTGCAGTTTTGTGGGGTCATAAACATGCGCCTTTCAGATTTCTGAAAAAGTTCATGGCTTACTAGATATTTCGAAAAAAACAAATTTTGGCTATTTCAAAAATTGTCCCTAATTCCATTATAATCTATTTTAGACAAAAAGTTTTCAAATAAAAGTTGTAGATAATCACATCCTTAATGAGATTGTGTCCTCCGTTTTTTTCTAAAGCCTGTCATTTTTAACATATGTTTTTTTTAAATGGAAACCATAGTTGGCTATGACTTCATAAAAAGCTCCATTTTTTAAGCTTTTCAGTGATATAAGCTATAATATGCTTCTTTCGAAAAATTACTGCGTTATAGCCAATTCTTATAATTTTTAATCAATTTCACTTAGTTAGCCATGGGAACAAGTTCAATCGTCGTTGCTCTCAGCACTGATCATACAGATTATAAACTTATCGTCAAAAGCATTGTTTTTCGTGGTTCCAATTTTTGGAGTAGCGCGCACTACTTAGGTTACTAGTTTGGGCACAAGCACGCCCACTTATAGCCAAAAATTGTGGACAGCGCTTGATCGGGCTTGTGACCGGCCCAATTATTACGCTGTTTAAACGGGAGTTTATTTTTGCGCACAAGAAAATTTACTCGTTTGCTCATCGTCATAAAAAAACAATTTTCATACCACGAATTAGGGACAAGATTTTTATCTGTATACTTATAGGATACCTAATCTGTGCTCTTAGTAATGTGAAACTGTCACATCCAAACTTTGTAAATAAAAATAAACAAAAATTGTAAATATGAATTTTTCAAATGAAAAAAAAGCGTGTAGGATTATTGGTTCAACTTTTTTTGGACATTTTCGAGGATACGTTGACCAATGAACGTTACTTACGTTTTTTAGAAAAGTTAAATTTAGACACTCGCGCATCAATAGAGTGGTTCCAACATTGCTTTCATTATGACACTCCCCTCATAATGAAACAAATGTTAAAAATTATTTATATCATAATTATGCAAACTCAGGGATAGGAAGAGGTGGACTAATTGCATAGGCCACCTTGATCACCTGACCAATCCATTTTAGATTTTTTTATGCTGTATGGTTAACAACAAGGTTTACAAAAGAACTTACCAATTAAGAGAAGCATCATGTAAGCATGAATTAGGAGAGGAGAAGTTTATTAAAGTCGACCGGCCGTTCTCAGCTTGTAATTCAGTTTTTAAAAGATGCATTTTATGCACTCAAATCGATGGCGGTTTTTGAACATTTGCTAAAATAACTTAACTTAAAGTGTATGTAGTAATATTAGTTTTTTTTAAGTTTTATTTTGTGTAAGGTAAATTGTAAAGAACCGTTTAATAAAATATTCTGTCTTTTTATAAGTTATAAATCATAACAGAATAAAATACCATGCCAACTAAGTGAAATTAGGCAAGAAAAATAAGAATTGGCTATAACTCAGTAATTTTTCGAAAATAAACATATTATATATATCGCTGAAAAGCTTAAAAAATGGCGCTTTTTATGAAGTCATGGCCAACTATGGTTTCCATTTAAAAAAAAAAACATATGTTTGTGTTATATGTCAAAAATGAGAGGCTTTAGAAAAAAACGGAGGACACAATCTCATTAAGGATGTGATTATCTACAACTTTGATCTGAAAACTTTTGATCGAACCTTATATTTATAAAGTAACCATATTGACTCCAAACTGCATTCTGTGAAGCCAAGCCGGTGAAATGGGTTTATAAATCTTCTGAAGGAATTTTCATAAGTCGCTCAGTTAGGTCTGCTCAAGCGTAGTGCGCAAGCCTGGATTTTGAATTATCAGCTGTTCATTTGTATGGCTTCGTCCAACTTTCCGTACGGCTTTCGTTTGCTCTCCCGTTCGACAATTGGCCGATCCTCAGAGTAGGGGCTAATCGATATTCGGAATTTTGGAGTTGCGCTATTGCACCAGTATCTGTCTAACAGACAAACTTATGTGAAATATACATGGACCGGTTATTTATCTAGTTGTCTCAAACTCGACTTCAACTCCAACACATTGCAGGGATGGACAATAATCTGTATATATTTGATATGTATATGGATAGAACCCAGGCCAACGCCACCGGTCGCCTTGGAAAGTTTTGGAATGGATTGGAGCGCGTTCGCCTCTGCCGTACACACCGGTTCCAACGTATCCAAATATCTGCCCATGTGCCTTTGAATGCGTTGGACCTCCGCCTCCGGTCTGTATGCGGCTTTAGGTTTCTACGTGTCCTCGGCTGCAATTTCTTAGTAACTGTTTTATAGCCGTTTTCCTAAATATCATCTCCTACATCTTCTACTATTCGTTTTCAAGCATCATTTTTCCCTTTTGGATTGCTTACTTAACACACATCTTTTTCTTTGTATATAGTTCTAGTGTCTAATATTTATTTCTCGGTAACAGTTTGTGATATTTTGTTTTGAATTAAGGCACTTTTCTAATAGCAGCGATGTGAGACGACCACCAATATGCTGGTTTTCTTTTGCGTGTGCGTCTTTTTCTAACTTAAATGTTTCATTGCATCTGCACGTGATAAGATTTATGTATGTTTGGGATACCATGGTTTTTTTCTTGGTTTAGCTTTCGATGTCTTATTTATACAAAGCCTTTGATTTTTGCTCCTTCAACTATACATCCAAAGAATATACCTAGCTAGAAAAAGAATGGACTCTGCCATACTGAAAAATGGTCCTACAGAAGCGGCGCCATCTATCGAGTAGGGCTTGTTTTCAATGTTATTATAATAACTTGTTTTATTATAATGCTTAT